ATCATTCTCTGCTCAGCCATTAGCTAGCTCAAATTGAGCAGTGATTGGCTGAATGCAATCTGTGCAACTGTGGACTTCCAAGTGTATGGATCAAGCAAATATGTTAACCATATTTGAGACAGAAGGACTGTCAAATGAGAAAGCTGGTAACATGGGAGATTTCAAAATGAATCATCCACATTGGAGGCTGGCATGTGTAAATTCATTTTATTTTAAATATTTTGCTTTGCTTTTTTTATTTAAAAAGCCCATACATCAATACATTGGACTATTAAATAGCCAAAGTCATGTTTGTCTCACCTTCCACCTAAGATACAAACATATTCCCTGGATTTCTATCAATGACTGATCAAGGTTGGGTTAGATATTTTAAAAACATCACCCAAGTGTATAATTTATAAATTGTACATTTGGATTTTTTCTTCTCATTTTAATGTATTTTATTTTATTGTTTTGAAATTGATATACCAAGTAGGTCTTTGACCTTTAATAACATGATTCATTGATATCTACAAATTTTGGGAATATGTTTAATTAAGCAGGAAAAACTATTATTATCCAGAATTGCATAAAATGTTTAAAATATAAAATGGGAGATTTATATGACCAGAGTGGTGTGATTGGGTTGGGTGGGAAGAATATCATTTTATTTATTTATGTAATTAATACATTCTAAATCATGTCAGCTTGGATGTCTTAAGATTTGTAATCTAATATAACTGGAGGGTACCAGTTTGGGGAAGTCTGTTTCATTTGGGACCTTTTCTTATTAAAATAATATTTTTTTTAAAAATCCACATATTTTTGTTTTGCAGACAGATGAATCTTTCTGTAAATATGAAAGAAATTTGGAGGCAGCAGATCCAGCAAATATGTCAGGTATCTACAGGAGAGTTTAACTGAAATGTTTGGCATGAATTTTGAATTCCATGATTATTTCATATTGGTTTTTGCTATTACTTTGCAATGAAGAGGGTATACTAAAAGAATGACAGATAGACCATTGTCCTGAAATCCTCCTTTTGGCTTTCAGGTCACATATGACTGACTATTATGGAAAGCTGGTTGCTGGACTAGTTGAAGTTTTAGCCTGATCAGCAGCAGAGTTCTGATGTTCATAGCCTGATGAATAAAGATGTTCCCAAAGAAAGTATAAAGTACCTTGGTTATAATTTTAAAAATAAAACCATGTCACATTTTCACCAATAGCCCACCACCACCTAAACAAAATGGCAACCTGCAGCTACAGCATACCAATGCCCAGAGTCATTATGAGTCGGGCCGCTTTTATAAATGTGGTTTATAAATAAATAATTTACATTATGCTAATTCTGTTTTATCTGTGATTACTGAACGTGTGGTCTAATACATCCCAAAAAAACACCAAGTTGGGGGCCAAATTAGACTTCTTCTGATGAGGGCCAAGGAGATTTAAAGAGTTTCCAGGTGAGGCTTTTATCATGAACTCTCTCTGCTTCATTCACAGAATAAGCCAAGACAAAAATTTTCAGCTAGAAAGCTAGACTGAAGGGCAGGAAGAAATTGTAGTTTGGAGAGGGCAGTTGAGGGCAGTTTCAAATAATTTATATGGATCAGGAGGCCTGTGCAGAAGGTAATACGACTTCTAGAAAGGGAGGAAAGCAAGATCAAGCAGTGGAAAAGCATAGAGGTATACTGTCACACTGACAGTTTAAGGTAGAAGAAACTACAAAGACTGAAAAGGGAAGTAATCAGTCTCAGAGGGAGATGAGGGCAGAGAAAGGTTGCTACAGCTATTTGGCTCCACAGTTTTCCATAAAGATATTGTCTGGGTTCACACATTGTACTAAGACAGAAACCATGGTTTACAAACCATAATGAATAGGTTCACAGATGCTAAATCATGTAAACCATATTATGGCTTTCTTCAGTGTGTGAACCCAGCCAAAGTGGTTCAGTGTGCAGGGCTGGGATTCAAATCTGCCTATCCTGAATGTCCCTGATGCAAGACTTACTCAGATTATGGGACCTTTGGCCTTCCAGGTACAGTGGTATCTCTATTTACGAACTTAATCCGTTCCGTGACTCTGATCGCAAGTCGAGTTGGTCGCAAGTCGAGGTAAATTTTTGGGGCCGGAGCTGGTCGTATCTCGAAAATTTCGTAAGTAGAGGTACCACTGTACTACTGAATTGCAATAGCCAGCAGCCTCA